TCATAGCAGCCATTAATTGGTATTTAGCTGATCTTGCTGCAATTTATGTCCATGGAAATACTGAAATTGATTTCCATAGAAGAAAGCTCAGGACCTGTGTTTTTGATCATGCTGTGCAATCCTTTATTTATGAAAGTTCTCTGTACTTTCTCTGACATGTTAGCAACTTTCTGTTTTATCTGAGTTGCCAAGAAATGAATATTGATGTTTGAGTTCAGTCACACCACTGATATACAGAGGACTGTCACTTCTTGCATATGAGAAATGATGATTTTTTTCATATGGTTTCATAAAGTGTATCAGTCTTTTTTGCCACCACTTTTTTATTACAAGTTCTTTGTTAATTTTGAGTTTTCTATTAGTCTTATTGAGCTTTTTTACCTTCACTGTTTTGCAAGTGCCTCCCTCCTGCTGAATGTCTGTTTCAATTTATTTTTCCTCAGACACGTTAACTTGCCTTTTTTATGTTGAATCTCATTTTGTTACTTCCTGCCTATATTTCTGACCCCTCCAGGACACTTTGTTTTATGATTAAACAAACCTGTTCATGGGGTCCATGAAAGAAGAGATCGTGCACTTGCAGGTTTATTTTTATTGAATCATAGTGAAAATTGCACCTTGAGGGAAGGCTTTATTACATTTAACTACTTAGCCAGGATTTATTAAAATAAACAACATAGGAGTCAAGACCTTCCAGACGGGATCTCACTCTAAATTGTGCTTCAAAATACATATGGACTTGTGGGTTACCTACATATAATTCCTCTGGTTAATGAAGCTTAGATCAGCCTAGATTGGTTGCTCATTATTGTAGGTTCAGATACTCCAAAATGCTTTATATATCATGGATTTGGACAGGCCGAGTGTGGTGACTGAGGAGGAGTTTCCCTTTTCAGGGTACCTTGTGTGTGGGACCAATAATTAAAAACATCACATAAGAAAGAATTGACCTGTACCCTGTGCTCTGCCATGATTAAGACTATTCCAGCATTTTCCAGCACTCTGCCTTTTTTAAGAAGTCCTAGTATTTGTCCTGCTGTACTGTATAGGGAAACTCTAGCTCAATGCCAATTAGAGGTTATGCAATATTGGTGGGAATCGAGGGAAAACTGGATTTGTGCACTGAAAGTGTCTTTTATCAGATCATAACTTTCAGCTTATTTAAGAATATCGTAAGAATCAAAGCCATATTTTTCTGCTGGTGTGTTGAAGAGCCCAAAACCTCCAGTTAAAAATTGGATGGTTTGATTTTTACAGAAAGTTTCTAGGAAAATAAACTATTTTGCCATATAAGTGGAAGGGTTGCACTGAGCCAGGTTTTCATCTGTTGCATCAGTGTAATGCTAAATGAATTCTACTGATCCTAGTGGGATGACGTGGGATTTTTTTCTGGATTCACACTGGCCTCACTGAGATCAGAGTCTAACCTACTATTTTTTAATGGACTTTAGGGAAAGTATTGAGGCTATTTGAAGGATTTCTGCAACACACAGGGACTGTATGAACATGTAATTTTTGCTTTACATATACATATGACAACATTTTAGAGACAACAGCAGGGAAAAAAGTCCTTGACAAAAGTGAGTTACAGGCAAAATACCTTTTTTTTTCCTTCTTTTTTTTTAACACCACAGTGATGGTAAAGTTTAAATAAGCATACTGCACAGCTATGGAAGAAATAAAACTCACAACTGTATTACATCAAAGACTGGAGTGCAGGCAAGCTAAAATCAAAGCCTGTGTCAAGTACATCAAGATCACCATCAGGCTTTGTCTGCTTGCTCAAAGAGCTTACTCTTGATAAAGGGGAAAAAGGCAGGAGGGAGCAAGGTTTTACACCATAACTCACGTTCCGTATCACATAACAGCTGCTCCAGGCTTTGTCTCATCCTTTAAATCTATTCTTTACTGAGGAATGAAAGAAAGGAATGAGAAATCCACGGGAGGAGGTGTGCGGTGCCTGTGCAGAGAATCTCGCCATGCTGACAGCTTGCTGTAATGCCATTTAAATGTAACCACCACCAGCTAAGGAAACAGGAACATGGCTGTGTGCTGCGTGCGCCTTCCCCTTACCCCCTGCACACTTGTGCTCATTACAGCTCTTTCTTTAAACTGCTGGCTAGACAGCTGGCAGTGCCTCAGAGGAGCACCGAGTAAAGGAGCATATAAATTACTGTTGCGTTTTACGGCCAAGATAAACTCAAACTGCAGGGTTATAGCCTGAACTGACACACAAAAAAGAGAATCTAGCAAGCCTCTGAAAAGCAAAGGGAAAAAGAAGGAAAGAAAGCATATTTCAGCAAACCTACCAATCATGTGGTGGGGTGGAGGGAAGCAAAGACACATAAAATGTAGACCTTCTCCAGGTCTAAAGAATAGAACAAGGTTAATACTTCTGTGCTTGCAACCATAAATCTGTAATTTTAAATTAGTATTTTTTTAAGTAGCTTTAGGCTTGCTTGTACTGTGTCATCACTGTAGATTTTCAAAGATGGCAAAAGATGTGTCGTGATAATCTCCATATTACGCATTTTATTAAGTGAGGCTTAATATACATGTAATTTCAAGTGGGTCAGTGCTTGAATAAAGTTTCCAGATGATCACTGAGCAAGCTGGTCTGCTTGGAACTGTCTGTGCTGGCTCTGTGCCTCCCACATGGTATAGGCTATAGCCCGTTATTTGAAACAATGAGTTCAAGATACACTGGAGTGTGAAAGAGTTATTAAGGTTAAAATATTATTTCAGATCCATGTTCATTTGCAATTGACTTTACACAGGAAAGAACAAATAATGGTTCCTAATTTGAAGGGCTTTATTTAATCCTGCACCCAGTGTTGGGTAGGTTATGCTAGAGAACACAGGATTTATTTGAATGCAAGCATGGCTTTACACTGTAGCCTGTAATACCAGGTGCCAAATATTCAGATATAGACATTCCAGTCCATTACCTCACACTGCTGCAAGTATTCCCTGAGAGTGCCACATACTTTGTGCAACAAAGATAAGCTGAAAATGTATACAGCTTGACTTATTCCCTCAGGAAACAATGCTCAAGTGTCAGAAGACCCACAAAATAAGTACTGGACTGACTTACTTTCAAAAACCTACAGACTGGAGCACAGTGTATGGTGTGTATTACTGCTCTGGTGCAAGGAAACATAAAGCATGAAGCTTTATCTTGCAGCCAGAAACCCTGGAACCTCTGGGAGACCGCAGTCTAAATCAAGAATCAAAACACTTCCCCAGCGCAACTGCAAATTGAAAAGAAGACCTTGTACTGTGCTGGCAAAGATATAGATGGAGGACGACTTTGAAATGCTTAAAAGGTTCTCAGATCAACTTGGTGACTTTTCTAGGTGAGAAAAATATTAATGTCAGATATGTATTTGTTGTGATTTGTGGAGACCTGAGAGGTGAGAAAGGGAACTCTTAAGAAAAGCAATTATTTGTTTGCTGTATATTAACAGCATGATGTTTAAAAGTTATTGTGCATACATAAAATGTAATGACTGAGGAAAGTAAGGTAAAATATTCTACACATTATTATAATAAAAATCCCACAAAGACAAGCTATAACATGGTTTTGGTCTTTCAAAATCAAAACCATGTTGCCTTCAATCAACGCTGTACTCCGTATACCAAGCTGAGAGACTCAGTTTAACAAAACTCTTCTGATTTCAGTTCAATTTAAAAATGTTACAGTACTAGGACTTAGTACCAGGAGAAAAGGCTGAAGAAAGGGTCTGACCTCATGAAATTCAATAAGGAGACGTGTAAAGTCCTGCACCTGGGGAGGAACAACCCCAGGCACTAGTACATGCTGGAGGTCACCCAGCTGGAAAGCAGCTTGGCAGAAAATGCCCTGGGGGTCCTTGCGGACACCAAGTTGAACATGGGCCAGCAGTGTGCCCTTGCTGCAAAGAAGGCTAACAGTATCCTGAGCTGCATTAGACAAAGTATTGCCAGCAGGTCAGGGGAGGTGATCCTTCCCCTCTACTCAGCACTGATGAGGCCACACCTGGAGTACTGTGTCCAGTGCTGGGCTCCCCAGTTCAAGAGAGCCATGGACATACTGGAGAGAGTTCAGTGAAGGGCCACAAAGATGATGAAGGGACTGGAGTATCTCTCCTGTGAGGAAAGGCTGAGAGAGCTGGGTTGATTCAGCTCAGGGGATCTCATCAAAGTATATAAATACCTGAAGGGAGGGTGCAAAGAGGACGGAGCCAGGCTCTTTTCAGTGGTGCCCAGTGCCAGGACCAGAGGCAAAGAGCACAGGCTGAAACACAGGAGGTTCCCTCTGAACATCAGGAAACACTTTTTTACTGTGAGGGTGACTGTGATTTTGATCTCCCTTCATCTGCACTGCTTGGGAAGTGCATTTCCACGCACAGCTGGAGAACCCAGAGGGAAATACGGGAGGCCAGAAGGGAGCTATTCTGGGCACCACATGGCCATGTCCAGAGGAGGAGACACCCCACTAACCCAGCAGGCCGGGCACTGGCTCAGCCCCAACCCTGCCCATCACAACTCTTGCTCAAGCAGGCTCTCAGGCGGGAGCTCCAAAGCCGGCACTACAGCAAAGAGGGCAAGGACATTTCTGCATGTGGGAGAGGTGCCCAACTGGATAGTCTCCACAGTGGGGCACTTTGATGCCTAACGCTGCAGCCTTCTCTCTTCCTCCCTGGCTGCCAGCTCCTACAGCCAACGGGACACGGCACTGCCCTGGCATTGCCTACAGCATTGCAAGACAGTTGGATTTACTGCTTGACTCTTGAGTCCAAACACCTGCAGCTCTGGAAGTGACAAGCAACAACCGCTATTCAGCAGCTTCTTCTCCTGCTGCAGCATGCCAGGACGCGGCTGCCAGGCCGTGATGTCGCCACCATGCAGCACAGGCATCACAGTGACGTTTGAGAACTTCCCCTCGGCACCCGCAGCCAGCCAGTGCCAGTTCGTTGGCGCTTGCTGTCTGGCAGGACCAAGCCCAGCTGCCCAGGGAAATGCCTATGGCTAGGCACCCCTTTGGTCTAACCTTGACAAGAGAGTTTGAAAGGGAGCCGTCTCCAGGAGAAACATCATCTGCTTCTGCTCTGGACAAGCTCACCGAGTTGGCAGACTCAACTTCTCCTGTCCCTCCAGGATGGGACAAAAGAGCACCTTGTGATGCTGATCTAGCATCTCTCAAGGATGATAAGCATTTCCAAGCATCCAGTGATGACCACAAAACCAACAGAGTGCATTGCATTTCTTTGCGGAAGACCTCTGGCGAATCTGATGACTTTGCATCCCTTGCCTTTCCAAAGAAGCTCTGGAGAATTGTCCTAAGCTTCTGGTTTCAGTCCATTCGGTCAGATGATGACGGCATCTGTGTTGCCATCAATGAAAAACCCTCAGAAAGGACGTACTAGCAAGGAGATAACCTCACAGAGTTTTTGAAACTGACATAATGAAAAGTATTATCCATCAGCTCAACCTCTATGGATTCAACCAAGTGCAATGCAACTCCAAAACATCTGACTCACTTGATGAGTTCCTGGCAGAAGAAACAGCAGCACTTTCTGCTCACAGCAAGGTACATCACTTGCCCTGCACATGAACCGACTTTCAGAATGATTCCAGCACATGAGCTTCACCTTCCAGTAACATAAGCCTTGGCAATGGAGGAGAGGAGGAGGAGGGCAGGAAATGTTCGGAGATACAGTTCTTTCTTAGGTCATTTCTCAGATGAAAACACCAGGGTGGCCATTACTTAACAGAACCAAAGCATAACTTTTTGGTCAGCCTAAGCTTTAGGTTTCAAATGTCCAATAGACCTTTTGAAGACCCACATTGGTCTCCTGCCATTACAAGGCTCAGTTCTCCTATCTTGGCGTTTTCCCATCTCCAAAGGCTGGCAACTGACTCTTCTTCTTTTGCATGTTTTAGCTACTCTTCCAGTAGAACCCCAACTTCAAGAGAGATGATCACCACCTGCTCAAGAGGTGCAAGCAAAGAGTTGGCCACAAGAGGAGAGCAACAGCTGCATTTTCACCGGGCCTGGCTTGGAAGGAAGACCGCCCCACAAGAAGCCCAGACATGCAGCCTGGGGGGCAGCCACTGCTGTCAAGCCTCGTGCCCCCTCCCTTTTACGACCACAGCACAGCCAGGCCCCGCCTGGCCTCCAGCAGGCTGCTTCTGCTGCACCTGCTCCTTCACCAAGCCCCAGCACACCTCACAAACAACTGGACACCTTGCACACCAGGGCTGGGGCTTCCCGCCTTTCCACCCCTGCAGACAGGCACAGCAGCTCTGCAGGCCCCTGGGGCTGCCCTGCCTCCCTTCTGGCACCCATGGTTTCCCATGGTTGTCCATGCTGGCAGCAGCCTCTGCTCTGGCCATGCCAGGGCCACCGCACACCCAAATCCCAGCCGCCCCTCACTGCCCAACTTGCACCTGCAGCCCAAACCCTGCTGCTGTAAATGCCCGGCTGGTACCCCACTGCCCATTAGACTAGATCAAGTAGACACACTAGGTACCCAGCCAGTAGAGTGTCAGACATCTGGAAATAAACTGTCTCAGTAAGAAACCCTTTCCAGTTGTCCTGTCCTGTTTTTACAGCCGAATCCCAGATTGAGTTTATATTTCACCAGTCAAAGCAGGGGCAACTGATCCACACACAATTACATGATTTCTTGTAAAAATCAGGCTCAGATTCTAAGAAATCCCAGATCTTTCATCTAATTTGAGAGCTTTCCAAGATTGCATAAAGTCATATAGAAGCAACCCAAGGTGGGAACATGAACTTGAGTAAGGTTCAGAGGTGGAAACATACTTCCTACCAAAACCTACCCAACAAAATCATTACTGTTAAAAACACTAAGCCAGAGCTGGGGACATCGGTGGTACTGAGCCAGGTGTTGAAAACTTCTGGCCACTTGTAATGTGGTCTCCTGCAGAGGATACGCAAGATTGTGCCTCACTTCAGTTTTCTCGTCCTGTGGGCTCCAACGCAGGGTGGACGAACCCCAGGGGTGAGCAAGAATATCCCCTGGGGTGTGGGGAGGAACTAGCAGAATGTCTATTTATATTTAGTTTATATCCAAAAAAACCAAGAAATAAATTAAGCTTTACTAACATTTAACATATAAATTGACACCAGTGTCCCCACTTGCTCCGCATGTCAGAGCGTCCCACGTCACGCACAGTACCAAGTTCTCCTGGGGGAAGAGTGGGTGTCCACAGGGCAGAGGTGTTCACAGAGGTGCCCTGCCTTGTCTGCTTGCTTTCAGTGTATTGCCACTGTGACTGACCAACAAACCCCTACCATGTAAGAAGGCTCAGAGGAGATGGGCCAGGGCGATGTGCCCATGAAGCTCAGGGAAGAATGCAGCCTGGGACTGACCACAGGTGTTGCAAAGAAGCTGGCTTGATTTCAACACCAAGGGGACCCGAGGATGTCCTTTGTTTTAGATAAACAATTATCAACAACTAAGTGGTGATCAGCTGGTGGTGGAAAGGTTTCTCCCTCAGTTCATTCAAAGAGCATAAATGTCTCCCTGAGTTAGACAGGCCAGCATGGGGGGAGTGAATAAGTGGCTCGGCCCAACATAGAGTATAAAACTGAACAACTCATGAAAGAATTTCATAGAGAACAACAGGCTTGAGATGGCTTCTACCCACAGATGCCTTCCTGGCAATTGGGGATGCCCAGTGTCGTGATGGTGAGCATATTAGAGAGACCAATAATGGGAATCACATTGTCATGGTGATTAAACTGTTTATTGCAATTGCTACATATATTTGCTAAGTGTAACTTACATTTGTACTGTGTTATGTAATATATTTTGTATCACTCTGCTAAATCAGAAATCCCATGTAACATCAAGTATCTTCAAATAAGTAAATTCAATATTAAACATGACATATTCCATGTATGGAATATCTGAAAGAACCTGGTCAGAGAGTAGTGGACTCTGACAAGGAGGTTCCTCCTGAACATCAGGGAACACTTTTTCATTGTGGGGGTGACTGGACACTGGTCCAGGTCGCCCAGAGAAATTGTGGAGTCTTACACCTTGGAGGTATGCAAAAGCGACCTGGACGTGGTCCTGGGCAACCGGCTCTAGGTGGCCCTGTTTGAGCAGGGAGATTGGACCAGATGACCTCCAGAGGTCCCTGCCAGAGTCAACCATTCTGTGATTCTGTGATTTTCAGAGATCACGTCTTGCCTTACAGAGACGCATGTTGCCTCTCTCCTCTTCAGGCATTTCTAGCAAGGGTCCTTCTTAAGCCAGGATTTCATACACAATGATTTGGGTCATGCTGGTTACATTCAGATCCTGGGTTTGTTTTGTGATCCTGAAAAATGCTGGATCTTAGTAATATGCAATGAAAATGTGAAAAAGATTGTGTTCAAATGATGCTCAAAACAGATGTAACTTGGAGTTCACTGGAGCCTTCCTGAAAGGCTCTGGGTCATCCCTGCTATGTGGGCTCCTGCCACCAGTTTCAGCAGCACAGGGCAGGCTGGTGTGTGCTGCCCTGTTAGCTTGCAGCCAGGAGGCTGTGTCCCTGCTCTGGTGTGTCCAGTGTTACACATGCTCAAGGTGCCGAACCAGTGTGAACACAGTGGGGAAAAAAATCAGAGCTGCCAGACAGGGCCCTTTTGTGTCATACTGCTAAAGAGAGGAAATCTGTGTTTTATAGAGAACCTGTCCATTCCCTTCTTAATGGAAATATAAAACTTCTGGGACTAACCCTATATTTTCTGTAAAGGGTGGACTGAGCCCAAGTGCAGATTATCTGTCACTTTCATAATTATTACACTTACAGGAACAGCTTTTAATCTCTAGAGATTTCTCCCTGAATCCAGCAGAGCACCTCTATGATGTCCTAAGCCTGGCATTGATGTATAGCGTCGCCAGTATGTGACCAGACATAAAAGCTATCTAAAGACTGTAATCTGTTCTCAGCCCACAATAACACAGCACACATGCATCCTTTCTGCTGTCTGTCATGAATCATGATGCCTGACAAGTACAGGTAATAGGCTTCATAACATTGCACACAAGCAGATAGGGGTATTTTTTTTTATCCGTAAGGGAACTATGTAGTTATACTTCTGTGGCTGTGAGCTCTTCCAGTCATATAGAGGCAGATATGGGAAACATTTTCCATTTTTTAAAAAAGATCATGTCCATAATTCCCAGGTTCTCCTATTAGACTTCTTTCATTATAAATGAACAGCAATTCTTACCTGCAATTCAGTTTAAGTTCTACGTGTGAAGCAATGATTAAATAGATTAACGTTTAGTGGTTTGGTAGTTAAGAAGTGTTTCAAAAGTGACTCTGCTGAGGTTCTAATACCAGCTTTGCTTTGGAGATAGGCTTCCAATGACTAAATTAAGCTTCTGGTCAGTAAAAGAAAAAAATACACATTTCTGTTAAATTATTAACTTTTAACATCAGGAAGTCATACATACTAATACTGTGCACTACTTTTGCAGCAGGGAAAAAAAAAGATTATTTCTTCAAAGGAATTTTGAATTTATGTCATGATTTGTTCCTCTAAACATTGCATTCATTCAAGGCAGCTTTCAACAGTTACATTATCTCAAATTTTAAACCAATGCTGTAACTTTTTGAAGACAACACTGGAATCTAAACCAGATGTAGTAACAGGTTGCCTTGTCATTGAAAGAGCCAGATTATTGCCTTTAAAAAACATGCCCTCCAAACCTTTATTTTATTTCTTTTGAAGATAGACATTTGCTGGTGTGTCTGTCACATGATCAGCTGTTTTCATGGGAGGTTGCCTTTATAAAGATCTGGAGGGCCACTGAGTTATTCTCTTTAGAAAACTCATAGTTCCTATGACACTAAATAAAGGCATCAGGTGATATCAGAGGTGAGATATAATTCAACCTTTGCAGCTAAATTTTAATTCTCTCATCAGGGCTTCATATGTTATTCCTACAGTTGTTCTGTTTCTCTTCCACAAATCATCTCTATTCCTCAATAATCCCACCAGATTTCTCCCATTTGTTGTTTCCCACTTACGCTCTTTAGGTTGGGTCATGTCATATGTTACCATGTTTCCCAGTTGAATGGCATACTGCTCACTCACTTAACTCTCTTATTCACATAAGAAAGGCCACATATGTGGCCTTTTTTTTTAAAAAAAATTTATTTTTACTTACAGAGTCTAATTTACTGAGAAAAAATCTAGAGGATGACCAAAGAAGTCTTGGTATTGTAAAGTGTATACCAATCGAAAATCAAAGCATTGCTCTTAGTTTCAGATTCCATTTTTCCTGGATATGCTAAAATTTTTTTGTGATTATTTCTGAGTATTTACATATTCCATTTACTGGTTATGTATATGGACCTTGCAAGTCCTCCTTATTTTGTGTACATGGAAAGTATTTGGGCATTTTTTATAGTGATATAGTTTCAGTAACAACTTTCAATAACATTTGCAGTTTATCCTTGATACAAAGGAGAATAAGAGGAGATTAATAAGCAGTAAGACCATCCTAAAGCCAACATCATTAAAATAAATAGCCATTGTTTGCCATTTTCAGGTGTATTTCATAGGATGAATATGGATATTGCAACTCAGCTGGGCTCACCGTGCAAACCTCCATTTTTCCTGGCTGTCACACCATGTGAGACAACATTAAGTACTTCTTGGTGTATATGTGAAGATAAGCAAATTTTGCAGGTGCTGTAGAATGCTTTTCACCAATAAATGGTAATGATACAGAAAAGAATAGTCTTAATGAAAAATGACACATGTACAATAATGTATGTTATTTTTCAAATAGAAACACAGCCTTTCGAAACAAAAAAGTGTGTGGTCTCTGAAATCCATCCTAGATAAAACTGTGCATAGCCATAGCCAAAGTATGTCAATCAATTCCTTGCTGGCTTTTCTTTGAAAAGGAAATAAAATAGCAAGTACACAGAATGTGGAACAAATTACTGGAAGCATGGAGATAAATCAATTATTCACCATTTATTACAAAATAAAATAGCTCAACAATTCATAAATATAAGGTATGCTAAATGCCTAAACTATGACTATTACACATGGGTTTATTTCTGTCTTTATTACATTTTGCTTTTAATAGAGGCCTTTAAAAGAGAGGGGATATTTTTATGTTCAAAATTTACTGGGGGGAAAATTTCCATTCTATTTTTGGTGATTTTATGTGCCTGAGATTTCACTCTTCCATAAAATTCCTCTGGAATAATGGAAATTTTTCACATTGAATCATACGAATGTTTGAAAAGCCATTTCTGTGTGAAATGTCATGCTCTGCAGTTCTGATCAGACACTGAAGGGGAATTGTGGACACATTTTAAATTTGTCTTTTGAAGGAAGATATCAGTAAAAGTGAAGAAAAGATCATTATCTAGACCAGCTTGCTGTTGAAATGCTCCTATGTATTTCTAATTTGCTACAGGACTGAAAAAATAAAAATCATTCTTTCTTAAAGAAAGGAAACAGTGTTCCTGATACTCCAAGGAAGCCTTAATGTATGACATATTTGTGAAGGGAGTGAGATGATTTCACAGAG